GCACACACTTGTCTAGAGGGGAGATGATGAAGAACCAGCCAAAGACACTGATGGGAGGACACCAGCCAGTGCAGTGCCTAGGGAGAGAAGAGGTAGGCTTGACAAGGAAAAGAGTGGTCCAAGGCCTGACATCCCCCACGAGCATCCTTTCCCTACCGGGTGGATAATGGTCCTAATGACACAGGGCTGGGGGATGTTCTGCATGCCGCACTCACTGGTGGTGAGTCTGTGTGGAGTCAGGAGGTTGCCCCCTGCCGGGTGAGGAGGAGTCAGAGCTCTGGGGTCTGCTGCTCTCTGGCCATGCTGGGTCCTGGGAGAAGCGCCAGCTTTGCCTACCGTGCCTGCTGAGCCCTGCCTGCCAGCCAACTGTGCCTGGGAAAGGCTCTCCAGCATTGGCTGGAGAGGAACTGGATCTGTAACATCCTTTTGTATATAGTTTTATTTATTTATTTATTTATTTATTTTTGGCTGTGCTGGGTCTTCATTGCCACGTGGGCTTTCTCTGGTTGTGGTGTATGGGCTTTTTTCATTGCAGTGGCTTCTCTTGTTGTGGAGCATGGGCTCTAGAGCCCATGGGCTCCAGTGGTTGCGGCTCCCAGGCTCTGGAGCCCAGGCTCAGTAATTGTGCTGCATGGGCTTAGTTACCCCGTGGCATGTGGGATCCTCCCATACCAGGGATCAAACCCGTGTCTCCTGTATTGGAAGGCAGATTCTTTACCACTGAGCTGCCAGGGAAGTCCAAGGTTTTACTTTTAATTGACTTAGTATTTTTGGCCCACGCATTAGTTTGTATTCACTTTGGCCAATTAAGAACTCTATAGAGTATTGAACCAGAGTGGTCTGAAGATAAATGAAAGCCTTGTGCTTGGAAAGACAATATTGTTTCAACCAACGCCCCCAGGGAAAAGACATTTTGCACTGGGCTGGCTCTGAGTCAGATCCAAGGTAGGCAGCCTTGCGGTGGGGACTCCTGGGTACCAGCGGCAGGTCAAATGATGCAGCTGTTTGGGGATGAGGGCCGTTCCTCTCCCCACAGTGGCTTTCAGGCACCTGGTCCTCAGGAGAGAGCAAACGGCTGCAAGCATGCTCCAATCTAGAGAGAAGGGCAGGGGAGTGGATGGAGCAAAACATTCTCACTGAGATTCCACCAGTTCCTCTTGAATAAAGACTCCCTGTGCTGCTTTAAATTACTTTGATTAATTTTTAGAATTCTGAAGAAGTTGACCCTGATGATATTTGCAATTTTCTTGTTGCTCTTATGAAGGAGAGAATTTTCTACTATCTTTGCTACTTTAACTCTACTAGGGTCTTTCTTTTTAAACAATTATAGAGATAAGGAAACTATGCTGATGATTAAAAATAACATACAGATAAATTAATAAGTAAAGTCCATTTCTAGTGCCTCTATGCCAATTTATAAGGTTGTATATATTTACAAAATTAAATGCAAATATAGATAAAGATATATATTGATATCTATCTATTTATATATAATTATGGTGCATATTTTCCTACAAGTTATTTCTCTTAGCAACATATCATGACTGTCTTTTTGTCTTTCAATAATGAATATGCCACTGTTTTTATTTATTTATTTATTTTTTTATACCACTGTTTTTAATCGGGGCTTCCCAGGTGGTTCAGTAGTAAAGAATCTGCCTGCCAGTGCAGGAGATACAGATTCTATCCTTGGGTCAGAAAGATCCCCTGGAGAGGGAAATGGCAGTCCACTCCAGTATTCTTGCCTGGAGAATCCCATGGACAGAGGGGCCTGGCAGGCTACAGTCCATGAGGTCACAAAGAACCAGACACGACTGAGTGACTAAGCAATAACAACTGCCATTTTTAATAGGTTGATAATATTCAGAAACTTCAATACTTTGGCCACCTGATGCGAAGAGCTGACACTTTTGAAAAGACCCTGATGCTGGGAAAGATTGAGGGCAGGAGGAGAAGAGGATGACAGAGGACGAGATGGTTGGATGGCATCATAGACTCAATGCACATGGGTTTGGGTAGACTCTGGGAGTTGGTGATGGACAGGGTGGCCTGGCGTGCTGCAGTTCATGGGGTCGCAAAGAGTCGGACACGACTGAGCGACTGGACTGAACTGAATATTCAGATGACACATGTGCCATAATTTGGCACATGCTGTCTTGTTGGGATATTTTGGCTGTGTTTGTTGCTGTTGTTGCTCAGTCACTAAGTTGTGTCCAGCTCTTTGCAGCCACATGGACTGCCACACGCTAGGCTTCCCTGTCATTCACTATCTCCCAGAATTTGCTCCAACTCATGTCCATTGAGTCGGTGATGACTTCCCACCATCTCATCCTCTGCCACCCCCTTCTCCTCCTGCCCTCAATCTTTCCCAGCAGCAGGGTCTTTTCCAACGAATCGGGTGTGTTTAATTTCTTTATTTTGTAAATAAGGCTGGGTGGACACCCTCATATGTGAGTTTTATGTGCTTGTCTCATTTGTTTGGGGAGCACACTCTTGGAAGGGGGATTTCTGGCTCCAAAGATAGGAGCACAAGTGTGTATGGGGGCACTTGCAGAGACGATGGTCCCCACCGTCAGGAAGGGAAGTTTCCTAGCCTCTGTTTCTCTGCATCACACCCTGCTCTGGATCACCTGCTCATTTAGACTAATGCTGTCAGTTTGGTAGAAGTACCACTCAAATTCATGTAAAACCTGCATTTTAAGCCATTTGTCTGGAAATTTCTCTTTGACTTTTAAGTAGCCAAACCTGGTAACCCCTGATAGCCCGGGAACGACTGTCAGCCCAGACATTTTCATAATGGCCCTATAGGTGCCCAAGCTGTGCTCACAGAAGCTGAAAGATTAAGCAGAGAATTACCCGCTCTTAGAACTAAGACTTCCTGTGCAGTGAATTCTCATCACATCTAGAAATCTCTGATGAAAGGGTCTTTCAGTTAAGAACAAATATGCTTAAAGTTCGTAATGACAAGACTGAGACATTTGCAGTAGGCTTAAAGACGTTCTTTATCAAAAGCTGAAAAGATTAAACCGCCTTCAGTGTCATTTCACGGTTAAGCATATTACACTCGTCTGAAATGGCAATCCCCCTCGCCTTCCCGCCATGTATGAGACCCTTGACATTCAAGAAGGACATGTCCCGAGACCTTTGAGGCTCCCTCGATTCATAAATGCCAGTTTGGCTTTCAATTTTCCCCAGACCATGCAGCAGAGATCAACAGAAAAATGCACGTGACTGCTTTAGGCTTTTATGATTCTATAAATATAGGTCTCCAATCATGTATAAAGCTATTAAAGCAAAATCAGGCTGGAGTCCTGGCTGAAATGGTTTCTGGGGTCATTATTTTTCTCTTTGTCTATAAAACACATAGTAAACAAGTTCACATTAGAAAGTCAAGTTTCAGTCAAGTACGACTTTTTATATCTTACTTTATCCCAAGTTTCTGTTAAACTATCACCTTGCTGGATGTATTTCTTACTTTCTATATCCATACCCCACGCTGGGAATTGACTTTTTTTAGGGAGCCATGATTCTTAATAAATAGTTTGCCACCAGCTGTGGGGTGACCACATTGGATGATGGTTCGAACTCCAGGAATTAAACCTACCCCATAATAGAAGTGCAAAACCATATACCCTCAGAATCACAGTCTACGTTGTACTAATATTTGGAGTTTCTTGCCAGTTGTCAGCATGTGCACTGGCTGGGGCAGATACGGACTCTGGTGTTCAGAAAGCTCAGCACCATGTCCTGGCACCTAAGGCATGACCCTTCTCTGACCTTGAATGCAGCCAATCCCCATTTCTGCTCTTAGCAACTTACTGACAAGAGAGGTGTTACTACTACTTTTGTTACCCAACTTTCCTGGTGGTTCAGATGGTAAAGAATCCACCTGAAATGTGGGAGACTCAGGTTCAATCCCTGGGTTGGGAAGATCCCCTGGAGAAGAAGGAATGTAACCCACTCCAGTATTCTTGCTTGGAGAATTCTGTGGACAGAGGAGCCTGGCAGGGTATGCAGTTCATAGGGTCGCTAAGAGTCAGACTTGACTGAGCAACTAACACTCTCACTTTCTTATGTTACCCGAAAATTAGTGACTGGAGTGTTTCAATGTGCACTTTTGTAAATTGCCAGCTACAGGTGCTAGTTTCTGCAAAAAATCTCCCAGTCAATAATGTGTTAGGTAAATCTGAACATCATTCCTTAAGATCTCACATCTTACGTGCACTCAGATGTCACTCTGCTGCTTCTGGACATGGGGAGAGAGAAAGATCAGTGTCAGCCTTCTAGACCCTGGGTCAGGCTCACTCGACCGGATCGGATAACCTGCCGCGTCAACACTGTTCCAGGACCCAGGAGAACAGACTCTCATGGAACTTTCAGTCTAGTGGAGGAGACAGATGATAAACTAAGGAACCAGAAAGAGACCAGATAGGGGAGGAATTGATCCTAAGGGTGACAGAGATTAGAGGACCTATTGGGTCTCTGAGGGCCGGCTTCCAGGCCAACGACATGGTTCAAAAGGTAGCCAGCCCAGGATGGTCCAGGCAGAGTAGGGTGGTCAGCACTGGATGGACATGTTGCTGAGATCCTGAGCTGGGATGTTCCAGGAATGAAAGGGGATCCAGGTGGCCACAGGGAAGCAGACAGTGGGGAGGAAGGGAAGGGCCACTGTGGATAGAAGTAACTAATTTATGACCCAAACTCGGACACTTTTGAAAGAAAAGGAGGTGCTCTTGATAATTGCTCTGGGACAGCAAGTTTCTCTCATGATGGTCAGTGGAGACCTGTATGCACAATCAGTACCCCACCCATGGAAGATGTGGGATGAGGGGGCTTTGTGAAGGGAGGTGCCTTGCCCACTGTTCTCTGGGGGGCACCACAGCTGCTGGGCTCACGCCTGTGGCTCTGGTGCAGGGTCTTCCCTGCAGTGGGGATGGGGAGCATCTCGCCTGGCAGCTGGCACCTCCTGACACCTGTCATCTCATCACCCCTTCTCCCAGGGACCCTGCCAAGGAAATGCAAGAAGGAGCTCCTGGCGGTGAAGCTGAGGAACCGGCCCAGCAGGCAGGAGCTGGAGGACCGAAACATCTTCCCCCAGAGGACGGATGAGGAGCGGCAGGAGATCCGGCAGCAGATCGAAATGAAGCTCTCCAAGTAAGTGTGGGTGCGTGGGCCCCAGAGGGGCTGGTCCTACCCGCCCACAGCCCGACCCTGCGTTGCACCCACCGCCATCAATGTTCGGGACCAAAGTTTCTTGCCGTGGGGGCCATCGGAGCATCAGATGCTTGGTGGCCTCCCTGGCCTGGACCCATGACGTCCCCTGTGACAACTGACATGTCCCTAGACACTGCTGAGTCCCTCACGCCCGGGCCCAGTCCTCCTTGTGGAGAAGGATTGGTTATAGAAGCAGGGCCTGTGGTTTGGGCAAGCTCGGAGGGGACGGGGTGGGGTTTGCCAGTGCCGCTGGTCCGTGGCACCCTCAGAGAAGTGGGGGTCTATAGTAGGGGCTCCCGAGCTCGGGGGTCCCAATGTTTGGGGCTGGGTGACTCTGGTGTCCTGTGCACCGTGGGACATTTAGCGGCATCCCTGGCCTCTGCCCTGGAGATGCTCACAGCCCGCCCTCCCCCCACCACTGTGACAACCACACATCCCCTGGGGATAGAGCCACTGCCACCCCTGGTCTAGGACCACTCCCCCGAAGGTCGCCCTGGGCTTCTCCTCCAGGTCGTCCCTCTGCCTGAGGCTCATGCCTCCTCACTGCGGGCAGATGGGCCTCTGTTTCCCATCCTGCTGGGAGCTTGGGCCCAGTGTGTCGGCCTCTGAATGCCTTTACTTCAGGTTTTTCAGGGCCGAGGGCAGTGAGTGTAATTGGTAAAACCCAGCACCCAGATGTTGCATTTCTCTGGGCCTCAGTTTTCTCCCCTGTGAAATGGGGTGATACCTGCTGTGGGCTCACAGAGAAGGAGCAGTGGGCTCAGTAGGAACACGTTTCCACAGGCTGTGGGGTCCCTGGCTGGGGTCCTGAGGGCCTGGAATCACATAGTCCCAGTCTGAATCGCCGCTCTGTGCTAACGTGCTGGGGATCTTGGGCCAATGGACTCACCTCCCCAGGTCTTAGTTTACTCATTCATGAAGTGGGGTGCTGATGCTCTCAAGGTCATTGTGAGTTGCGGGGAGATCCCATAAGGAAGGTGCATTGCAGACCTGGGGCATGTAGTAGGTGCTCAGTAAGTCAGTGCTCAGGCTTTCCTGGTGGCTCAGATGATAAAGAGTCTGCCTGAATGCGGGAGACCCGAGTTCGACCTCTGGAAGATCCCCTGGAGAAGGAAATGGCTATCCACTCCAGCATCCTTGCCTGGAGAAGCCCATGGACAGAGGAGCCTGGTGGGCTAGCGTCCAGGGGGTCGCAGAGAGTCAGACATGACTGAGCAACTAACATCTTTCAAATCAGTGCTCACCGTAGCTGGTGGAGCCTGGGAACCCCTCCTCCTGTGTTGGCTCCGAGCTGCGTGGCGAGGGACCCACTGTGGATGGCTATTGAGGTGCCCATGGTGACCGGTGGCCCCAAACCCAGAACAGGGCTCCCTGTGGAGAAGCTTTTTAAAAGTACTGATTGATGAGCCCCACCTCCCCCCACCCCCCAACCTGGATCAGTCTCTGGGGTGAGGGGGGACTTTATTGAATTCCTCGATTTTAATGGGTTGAAGGAGTCTCTCCACATTGGATGTTCCTCGCCTGATTGCAGTGAGACTGTCAGACCCCCAAGCACTTGTTCCTCTTATTTAACAAAAGCTTATCCCACTCGAATGAATGGCAGGCTGGTGCTGTGGTTACTGCTGGAGACAGAGCTGTGGGTAATGAGAGAGAGAGGTCCCCTGAGCCCCACACCCCTGAGAGCATCCTCAGACCTCTTCCTGTGTGGTGGTACCCACTCTCGGGCTTGGTACTAACCAGATGCTCAATGAGTGCATGTGGGTGGGAAGGAGGGTGGGCTGGGAACAGAGCTGCATGGATTTCGTGGCCGAGGGGATGTGCCGGCTGATCAAGCTCTGTGTCCTGGTTGCCTGTCTCACGATGCCACACACTATCACGGGAGGCATGGTTTTCTGCCTCTCATTTCTAGCAAGATTAAACTTTTTTCTTTTTTTTTTTTGTGCTTATTAGCTTTTTGTTTTTTTCAGTTCCTTTTCTGTCCATTACGCGAAGTTTTCTTTATCTTACTGACTTGAGGAGTTTACTCTGGAAATCGCAGCTCCCAGCCCTCTCCAGGTCTGCGAATGGCACCTCTTCTCCCTCTTTGGGGCCGGTCTCATCATTTTGTTGATGTTTCCCTTTGATGTGTGAAAGCTCTTCATTTCTAAAGTCACCAGATGATCGATCATGTACTTCTGGTGTCAGGAGATGTTCTCCATGAAGAGCCAGATACTGAGTCTTGCTGCCTCTGGGGACCTACCGTGTCTGCTGTGACCACACAACTGTTGTCACACTTACTTAGTCACGGCCAGCGCGTGGTGAGTGAGTGCGGCCAGGGTCCAATGGAGGTTTATGCACAAACGTGAACAACAGTTCACCCGGCCCCTGATGTACTTTATGGTTCATACTATTTGTGCCCAGTCTTAAAACATCCTCCCCTGCCCAGATGTCAAAAACATGATTTTTACACATTTGCTTTTGCAGTTGTCTTCTGTGCCAGTCAGTAATGGTTTTCTATTTGCTAAACAAAACCAGGGGCTTCCCAGATGGGGCAATTGGTAAAGAACCTGCCTGCCAATGCAGGAGACATTAAGAGATGTGGCTTTGATCCCAGGGTCCAGAAGATCCCCCGGAGGAGGCAGTGGCAATCCACTCCAAAATTCTTGCCTAGAGAACCCCATGGACTGAGGAGCCTGGCAGGCTATGGTCCATAGGGTCACAAACAGTCAGACATGACTGAAATGACTTAGCATGTACACACTCAAACAAAACCAAGTTTTCCTTCAAAATAAGATATTAAGCAAATTAAAGAAAAAATAGTAAGCATTGTAAGTACATGAGATTCAAGGAAAACAAAATGATCACGATGATGCTTGGCTTAAGAGAACTCTGGGGACTCCACTCCTGTCTCCCAGGGCAGACAGGAGGTGGGAAAAGTAGGGTGCTGGGACCTCGAAATCCCTCTGATTAAGTGGTACCCCAAACCCAGGCCCTGGACTAGACTTCCTCCATTAATCACTGAGTCTGTAGCTTGTTTTAAATCTTGGAGTAGAACATAGTAGCTCCTTGGCTGTTTGTCACCATGTTTAAAAATGGAAAAGCAAGCCCGGAATTAGACACGGAAGGGCCGTGGCTGAGAAATCACATCCCGGGGGGCAGACACAGCCCTCCCGGCTGCCTGGTTTGTTTCCCTACAGAAGTGGTTTAATTGGATCCTTTGTCCTTGTTTTGCCTCCTTTCAGAGATTCTTCTGCCTTCACTTGCTGAATAATTCAGCCTCTGGTTGCCATGGCAACCGGCCATTCACCATATCCTGAAGTGCAGTTGGTGTTTTCGTCTTGTGTATTTTTTAAAAATTTCCAGACCCTTACTCTTTCATCTTTTGGGCACTCTGAGAATGTTTTTGGATGAAGTGGTCTTGGTCTCCCCAACTCTGTGCTGCTGCTTGTTAGGGGGGGCATATGAAGTCAGAGTCAGCTTGGGGGAATAAAGCCTCGTGGTAGTTTTCATCCCCTTTCAGTCCAGCAGCCCAGCCCACCTTTACTATGTGTGTAAATGGATCTGCAGTGTCTCACAGACCCAAAGCTCCAGGGACTCTCACAGTGGGCGAGTTCTGGAAGTTATGGTCTTGCTTCAGTACGGTTGTGTGCTCACCATTTAGGTGGAGCCGGTGATAAGGATGCCTGACAGCTTTCTTTATTACTATTGTTGTTGTTATTATAAGCTTGAGGTGTCCAGCACTAGAATTCGGCATTTGTTTACAAAGTTATTAAATGACAACTTTGCCTTCTAAGTGCAGAGCCCATGCAGTGAGTTTTGCTTGCTTTCCCTCATTTCATTTAATCTTTGTAGGAACCAGTTGTCATCATCTCCATTTTACAGATGAGAAAACTGAGGCTTGATGAGAGAGATTTAGAGACTTGCCCAGGCTCACACAGCTCTGAGGAGGCGGGCTAGGTTCCTCAGAACACCCAGCCTAGGTGGCGGGGGAAGCAGGTTCTCAGAGGCAGTCTCTGGCTTATCTGAGTCTCTGGGTTTTCTTATGTTGTGTGGCTTCTGTCAGGACATTCAGGCCTCCAGCCAGGCCCTGGGCCTCTGTGCAAAATGCTTCATGCCTGTGTTAAGGTGGGGACTGCTGGAGGGGATGCAGATGTGCCCCATATACCTGGAACAGCATGGTTAGTGAAAATATCCAGAGAGAGACCCTGGGCCAACCATGGGCTTTGGAGGAAGGCAGCCAGGCGGGTTCAAATCCCAGGCTTCCCTCACAGTGCTATGGGCTTGGGCCAGCACCGCCTTCTCCGAATCTCCCCCTGGTTTGTAAATTCAGCACCGTGGCAGCACCTTCCTCCTGGGCCCTTCGGAAGATCCTAGGGTAGTCCCTCTGCGGACAGGTGAAAGTGTGTTCCCGATGGGGAGGGGAGGGATGTGGAGCTGCTGCTGGTGGTCCTGGCTGGATGCACTTGACTGGTGGTCTCCTGGGAGGGGCGGAGGCCAGGCCGGGGTGCTGAGCGGCACCTGGAGGACTCAGGTTGTGTTAGTGTAGTTGGTAACGACCCTGTGTTTGTTCCCCTTGAAAGTGTTAGTCGCTCAGTTGTGTCTGACTCTCTGCAACCCCATGGGCTGTATCCCATCAGGTTCCTCTGTCTGTGGGATTTCCCAGGCGGGAATATTAGGGTTGCCATTCCCTCCTCCAGGGGATCTTCCCGACCCAGGGGTGAAACCCAGGTCTCCTGCATTGTAGAAGATTTTTTACCATCTGAGCCACCAGGAAAGCCCTTGTGGTGCAGTTTGCCTGGCGCTGGGGGGCGGGGTGCCAGGGGCCTCCAGAATGCTGCACGACCTTCTATTAAGTCTCCCTTGGGGGCTCCTCTGCTCACAAGGGGCGCCTTGTGAGAAGCTGATGAATGCTCAGTAGCGTCCTCCAGGAACTGTTAGTTAGAATGTTTATGTGGGCATTA